GGACTTGTGCTTACAAGGCTTCTACTCTACCACCTTAAGCTACACTTCCAACCTTGCTTTTTGCTTGTTATTTTGGAGATGGAGTCTCATGGACTCTTCTCTCTTGTGCTGGGTTTGAACTGCAATTCTCAGATTTTAGCCTTCCTGGGTCACTGGTGCACAGTTAGTGATAATTTATGTTTTCAGAAATCTACTCTGTGTGCTAGGACAAGTGAAAATATAATAAAATATGCTCTTTGCCACAGAGGAGGAATCCACTTGCCTATTGAAATAGTAGTAATTCCAAAATGAAATAATATTGAAAATAATGTATAACTCCCATAATTAAGTTCTAAGTAATATAGTTATTTGATATTCAAATATTAATTAGAACGCCCTGAGAACAGAATATAAAATATAAATATAAATGTAAATTGCTGGGAAAAATGAATGCAGTAGGTTGTGGCATTTGAACTTACTATAGAAGCTATATGTGTATATATATATAGATATATAGATATGGATATATATATATATATTTTTTTTTTTTTTTGTCGGTCATGGGGCTTGAACTCTGGGCCTGGACACTGTCCTTCAGCTCTTCAGCTCAAGGTGAGCGCTCTACCACTTGAGCTACAATGCCACTTCCGGTTTTCTGGTGGCTTATTGGAGATAGGAATCACACAGTCTGTCCTGCCCGGGCTGGCTTTGAACCATGATCCTCAGATCTCAGCCTCCTAGTAGCTAGGATTAACAGGCGTGAGCCACCAGCGCCCAGCTTATATGTATATTTTTTTTTATTCGGTCGGTCGTGGGATCTGAACTCTGGGCCTGGGCGCTGTCCCTCAGCTCTTCAGCTCAAGGCTAACACTCTACCACTTGAGCCACAGCACCATTTTTGGCTTTTTCTGTTTATGTGGTGCTTAGGAATCAAACCCAAGGCAAGCACTCTACCACTGAGCCACCTTCCCAGCCTCCTAAATGTAATTTTGATAGAGAAGCCTGAAAGTGGATTTCAACAAAGTTACAGATGAAATAATGAGCCTGGAACATGATGAAGAAGGATGGAAAATTACTAGCTTCTTGGCACCACATTACTTTCAAGTTATTCCCTTCAGTCTCTCAGCCTTAACTATGGCAATTGTGGGTAATGTTTAGAGCAAGGTTTCTCAGCAAAGACCCTGGGTCCATCTCCATCCAGAGATTCATCTGGAATTGGTATAAGGTGGGTTCTGTGCACAGGTGTGCTAACAAAGTGCTTCTTGTGTTGGTAGTGTACTAGACAGTCTGGGAATCCATGGTAGGGTGGAACAGTGTGCAAGTTAGAGCTGGAGTGAGGATGTGCAGATCCCATTATGATGGATTGTGCTTTGCTACAAAAATTTTCATCAAACTAGGCACTGGTGGCTAATGCCTGTAATCCAAGCTACTAAGGAGGCTGAGAGCTAAGGATAGTGGTTCAAAGTTATCATGAGACTCTTATGTCCAATTACTCCCTCCCACACACACACACACAAAACCTGAGATGGAGCCATGGCCCAATTGGTGGAGCAGCAGCCTTAAGCACAAAAGGTCAGGGACAGCATCTAGGCCCAGAGTTCAAGTCCTAGGGCTAGCAATAAATACATACATACATACATACATACATAATTTCTCACCATAGATCTGCATTACTTCACTAGAGGAAAGATGTTGGATGATAGACTACAGCATCTTTTTCACCTTGGATTCTCTGAAGTATCCGGCTGGATATGAGCCTCAAAAGTATGACCTGCTTGATGCAGTGATAGAGAGTATCCAGTCAGATTGTAATTGGGGAGCAGTTTCCATCACCCCAATGTAAAGTTCTCCCTTATTCCCTGTTCATCTTTTCTTCTATAGGATGAAAATGGTTTGTTTTAATAGAAAAATTTGGCTTAGGAAGTTTGAACATTTTAAATAAAACTCTAGGTTAATCTAATTACTTAATGGGTGTGGTATACAACACCTGTAATCTCAGATTGAAGCAGCTAGAGCTACCAAGGAAAGCCATGTATGAAAGCAACAACAAAAAATGTATTTTGGAAACCAGCATCTCTACACTGTTTAATATTTCTATTTATTTGAAATTAAGCAGTTATATGAATAAATTTTTCAGCCATTATTTAATGCATTTAATGGCCAGCCTGGGATACTTAGCAAAACCTTGTTTCAGAAAAAGACAATGGAAAGCTCTCTTGTTAGTGTGAACTTAATTTATGGAACTAAATGATCAATGAAAAACCATGTTAATGCTGCCATTAAGTTAAATCACCCAATTTCCATGGCCACAGTGAATTCTGTGCTGGCAGTGCCAGCTTTGGCCTTTGATCATATACCTGCAGTGGCAAAACATCTAACTCTACAGTCACCAGGGTCAGCATGTTAATGGGCATGATTTAAAGTGATAGGCTGAGCCAGGGCTGGTGGCTTATGCCTGTAATCATAGCTACTCGGGAGGCTGAGATCTGAGCCTTGAGCAAAAGAAGCTCAGGGACAGTGCCCAGGCCCTGAAGTCAATCCAAGGACTGGAAAAAAAAAAGAGAGAGAGAAAAGTACTGTCTTCTCTAGACTAATGATACCGTGGATATGAACTACCTCTACCAACCTGTACTTCTATGTAGGGAGCAGGGCCCCAAACCATACTGGGGGGATGGGCTCAACAGGTCCTGTGCTTTCCACTGTCTGTGACATGGTTTCCCTCTCCCACTTCCAGCATACAAGCACACACACCTGCTGAGTCTCCCAACTCTCTTTAGCCTTGCTCCAGTGGTGTTCACCCAGGTCTACACCAGCACAAGGTAGAGACATTGGCTGGGACAGCATGGTGATAATTACTTTGAATTCCAGGGAAAGGAACAGTGTGGGGTTTATGATTCCTGAAGCAGCAAACTTGGGCTCAAACTTCTCAAGCTGCCTTCCTGTTATAGCACCCATGCTTTTACATTGAGGGATACGGGCGCTTGTAAAGAGCTCTAAAGTGCCCAAATCTACAGGTCAGACTGCCTTTTGGTTCTGCATCTGACTCTGCCAATTTTGCCCACTTTGTCTCTCCCTCTTTTCCTTTCTGTTAGGCTCCTCTTCTGCCAAGCTGCCAGGCCACTGTGAACTCAGTGACCATGAGCTCTTTCTTGTCCTCTGATCCAATAATGTGCTCAATATTTTCAGTGTGTTCCCTCAGTTACCCACCATTCTGAGTAGTGATTCACTGGTCCTTTCAATCCCTAACTACGAAGAAGCTGCAAAGTAACTTGCCACTAATCTGATACCTTAGAGCCTCCTGAATAACATTTTGTCCAGTCCTGGGGCTTGAACTCAGGACCTGTTTGCTGTCTCTGAGCTGTTGTGCTCAAGTCTAGTGCTCTACCACTTGAGACACAGCTCCACTTCCAGCTTTCTTAATACTTAAGAGTCCCACTGACTTTCCTGCCCAGACTGACTTCAAACCACAATCCTCACATCTCAGCGTCCTGAGTAGCTAGGATTACAGGCACAAGCCACTGGTGACCAGCTCCATCTGATCCACATTTAATGAACATTTATTTGTTAGTATTTCTTGATATTTCCATGTCTTCCTTTGGGCTTTTTTCCCCTTTCAGTTCTGGAGATTGTACCCAGGGTCTTTTACCTACCAATCTCTACCATTTAGAACCATTCTTGCAGACTTATTTTTGTATGTGTGCAGTAATGCAGCTGGAACTCACAACTCCATACTTGTTAGGCAGATGACTTACCACTTGAGCCACGGCCTCAAGCTGCCTCTCCCCACTGATTCTTTCTAGAGACAGGATCTCACTAATTTAGCCGAGGCTAGCATCAATTTTCATGATCCTCCTGCCTTCACCTCCTGAGAAACAGACATTATAGGCATGAGCCACCATGCCTAAAATCTCATGTTCTTACTACTAATATGTACCCTTTAGTAATTAGTGAACAGAGAATTTTCCCCCAGCATGTTGATGGCAATGGTATATGTGGTGAACTGGGGACTCAGTATCTGCCCCAAGCCCCTTTCTCTGCCCTCAGAAAAGTGTCAGTATGTATTTCTGATTGCTCTGTATGCATCAGGACTTCTGAGTGTGAATTACAGCGCACTTACCAGGAGCCTAGGTGGCTCATGATATGGGTCCACCTTCACATTCCTTGGATCTTTCCTGTTGGTAAGAGCAGACTCTCGGACTTTATGCTTGCCTGATGGTGCTCCTCCTGGGAATCAGAAGGTAGTTGTGGTCATACCTGCTTTCTGGTCACTACATATCCTAAGTTCAGGGAAGTGACTTTGAAGTTAACAGATCCTCTGAGGGGTTCCTGATTTCCCACTACCTTGACTAGCAAACCCTGCTCTTTCCCCAGCCTCCTGCAGGTTGCCTGACCCCAGGGCTTTCCTGCTCCCCAGCCTTGTGCTCTATTGCCATCCTCATTTCACTTCCCCTTTCAATGCCTGGCTCCTCTGGAGAGCTGGGGGTGGGGCTCTGCTAGGAAAGAGTTTGGGGCTATGGTCAGGGGAGGGAAGCCAACATCCAGATCTAGGACCTGGTGGGTGGTTTATCCACAAGAGTCCTCAGCCACCAGCCAGCAGGAAGGCAGTAGGAACTCGCCCACCTGCTGCTACAAAGGGGTCAATGGGCTACACAAAGTGACACACAGTCAGTTTCAATTCCCCTTACCCCCAGAGCCACTGAACTGATCATGTTCACAACAGGCTCTAAAATGGAAGAAAAGAATCATGCTGCATGTCTTCTTACTGAAGGGGTAGGTATGGCCCACTGAGTCCCCCATCCCAAGGCCAAGCTCTGCTACTGCTGTTTTCCACAGGTAGGGATATGAGTCGGGGTTGGAGTGGCTCTTGAAGGAGCAGCAGGATCCCTGCGTGGCCCCCTCAGCCTTCTGAGGTGCCCCCCAGTCCTTGGCCTGGAAAGTGCAGTCTCCACCCTCCCCACCTTTCCCTGGGCTACAGCATGGCACACACAGCAGAAACAGGAGGCCTCCAGTCAGCATTTGGTATACAGAACACAAGGAATTTCTTTACATATGAAGAACCAACAAGGTATTACTACAGCAAAACAAGACCCCATTCCTGACAAGACTGCTGGCAGTGCATTTCATCACACAGAAAACTAGAGTCGCCCTGATGGTGTCTCAACATTTGTTGAGCTTCTACTTCCTGGAACACAGACTGCCAATAAATAAAGTGCATGGAGACCCCATCACACAGCAAGGCCCCACAGGGGAGGGCGCAGCCATGAGGGGAGGAGAAAAGCTGAAGCTCTAACTACTGAAGGCCAGAGGAAGGCAGGAACACAAAACTGAGGCCTGGTCAGGGATCTCTCTCTGGAAAGGGTGGGACTATACCCATTGTTGGGGGTGGATGGGTATAGTCCAAGTTCTTCATATACAGGGGAAAATTGATACCCTAGCAGCTCCCCCAGTTCCATCCATACCAGACTCATCTCATGGTCACACACTCACACACACACACACACACAAGAACATTGCCACTGGCTCAAACATGCAAGGATACCAGATTATGGGCCTTCGTCCTTTCCTAGCTGCTTAGGAAGAGGCTGAAGCTAGGGAGGCAGCTGCCCAGAGGGGATTTGGATGGGGACTGCCATTTCTGGAGGCCCCTGACTTTGGTTTTTCTTGTCACCTCACAAGGGGCCTGCTTTGGATGGGTCAGGGAAGAATCTGACAGCTGCCCAGAGCTGTTCCTGGGTGGATGAGAGGCACCAGCAGGATTAGGGGCTCTGGGAGACTTGGCACAAGGAAGCAAACCATCAGTCTTGGGCTAGGGGAACCCACAGGTAGGCAGTAGCAGCCCCCTTCCAGCCTGTGCCTATGGGGTTAGACAGAGATGGTCCTTCAGGTCCTTGGCTCCAGTGGGCAGCTGAACAGGGCAGATGGTGAGAGGCCGGGCCACTCTGTTCCCTGGGTTGGTCACACTGCTGCAGGTTTCCATCCAAGGCAGTGAGAACACGGGCCTCCAGTCAGCACTACCAGGGAAGCTGAAGAATGGACAACTGGTAAGGGCATCCCTTGCGCTTCTCCTGGCCTGTTTGTCACTGTGATTAGCATAGCCAGGGACTCCTGAGCCACTCTCAGTCCATCTGGGTGAGATTTTCCCATATGATCCTGGAGATGAGGGCAGAACCTGGAGACAGAGAGATGCAGTCATGTCATGGGTTCCAGCCCATCTCACCCCAGGCTTTTGTGTGTGTGTGTGTGTGTGTGTGTGTGTGTGAAAATACTGTACAGAGGGTTTACAATTACATGGGCAAGATAATGAGTATATTTCTTACCAAGCCTTGTTGCCTCTACCTTTGTTTCCCCTTCCTATCCCTTCCCATCGCCCGCCCCCTGCACCCCGTGCCAAAGTTGTAAAGTTCGTTTTTCGACGTAACGTCTTGTGCATCTCATTGTTGCAATGGGTCCACCTGTATCCCTATTTAAATGATTTGTTTTTTCCCTTCTCCTCCACAAATTATACCAACATCAAAAACAGTGAAAAGAGAGGTTATACCGTGGGGGAGGGCCATACAAAGGAACGAAGAAATCCTGTTATAAATATGTTAGAAACAAACGTAAGAAAGAAAAAGCACTGGTTTAACCCCTCACCCTCTCAGCAACATCCTGCCATCAGGAGCCACCATCATCACTATAAGCCTTACTCCACCAACACTGGGAGGCTCTGGCCACACAAGTGCTGTGGAGCCAGTGGTCTAGAACTCCAGGAGGGTCAGGAGGTTTTGTGGTGAAGTGTTTGTGGACCCATCTCAGCTCACTGCTGTCCTATCTTCCCTCTGACCTTCTATATGCCTCTAAGATCTCCCGAGTCGAGTCCCTACTCTGGCCTTTTCTCCCTAGGTTCCCTGAGAACTCTGTGATTTCTCCCTACCTCATCCCTTCCCAGGTCTTGAAGTCTGGGCGGGAGTGGCAGAGTGCAGACCCAAGGTCAGCCTGGGCTCAATCCCTTCTATCTGTATGACAAGGACAAACCCCTGCCCATGCCCAGAGCCCCACTGGGCTCTTTAGGCAAGAGAATACATCTCTCTCAGTGTTGCTAGGAGATCTCAGTGCTCTGGGAACCGGGCATCTTTCCCTGGGCCACACTATCCTCTGGTCCTCTACCTGAAAGCAGCTGTTGGACCCAGGGTACTTCAGGTAGGGATCTGACTCTTGACAAGGCCAGGGAAGGGGCAGGCCACCAGCTACAAAAACCAATGCCTCAACAAGCAAGGGATAGAGACCTCAGAGTGAGTTGCCTGGCCACCCAGAGACGGCCTTGTCTGCCCTGCATCCTCCTCTGCAATCCCCTCTCCCCCCTGCCCTCCCCACCACAGCTCGAGAGTGCTGCCCACTCCAGGAGACCTTCTCATTTTTCCACATAGTGGGTCGCCGTGCTGTGCATGTCTGGAGTTTTGTGGCTCTGAGAGGTCCCATTAGCCACTGCTGGAAGCAGCGGCTGGCTGAAGAGCCAGACTGTGGGAGAAGGGGATGGGTAGGGAAGCCGTCTTGCCCACTCTTTCCTACCAGCAAACTCGGTGTCTTCACCATGACCGCAGATGGTGCTGAGGAGCAGAGGAACAGCAGGAGGCGGCAGACACCAGTCCCCTGGCCCCAAAGAGAAGGCAGGAGGCAGTCTTGCGAAGAACTGGGCAGATCTGCTGAGAAGCCCAGAGGCCTCTTGCCTGAGAAAGGGACAGACTTAGGTTTGGCTCAGAAGGGAGCCATCCTTCTGTCTGGGTACCTGCGAAAGATGAAGAGTGGGTGCATCTGTGTTTTTTCCTCTACAACCTTCCCAGGGAGTCCTCGACACCCCCCACCCCCAATTCCCCAGGGTTCAGGTGACACCATCCGGGCCTCCCCATCAAGGGGGCGGGGACTGGTTGGTGGGCGGGAGGGGCTTCCTGTCGGGGTGATGGGCTGACCCTCGGAGATGCAGAGGCCGCCTCCGCCGCCGCCCCTCACCCCAGTGCGTGCGCCCGAGCCTCTGCCCGCCTTTCCGTTTCTCAGCTCGGCTCGGCAGCTTCGCCGGCTGCTTTGCCCGGGTGTCTTCCATATTTCCTCTAAACCTCCGGGGCGCCTCGACATCGAGATGTCATAGCAACCCCTCCGCCACCCGCACTGCAACCTGTCGCCCTTACCTTGCAGCCCGGGGCCTGGCAAATCAAGTGGCCGCGGTGGAATTGCGTCCTCCCTGTTGTCCCCTTTGGCCACCGCGAGGCAACAGGTCGGACGGACTGCAATTCTCCAGGTCCCGTTGCAAAGGACCGGTTGCACGAGTGGCTCGGCCGTCTGGGACGGGGCCCGGGCCGGGTGACCGTCGCCTGTCCGCGGAGGTGGGGAGCAGCGGAGGGCCCCGGCCGCCCGGCCTCTGTCCTCGGCCGTGTTCTCGCGCCCCTGGGCCTCGCCGCTGTCCTTCAGGTCCCGGCGTCCTGGCCGGGAGCCCGGGCGCGGGCCACGGCGGCCGGCCGCTTGCCCCCGCCGCGGGCGCTCATTCGATGCGCACCTGCAGGCGGACATTGAACATCACCGAGGCCACCACGTAGAAGTAGGGGAAGTTCATGCGCAGCCGCCAGGCCAGGTCGAAGAAGGTGAGCAGCGTGCGCGTGAGTCCCTTGCAGAAGGCGCCGTACGAGCCTCGGACCGCGGCGGAGCGCGACAGCCGCACCGCCAGGCCGGACAGGGCCGCCGCCGCCGCCGCCACCGACAGAGCCGCCGACGCCGCCATGGGCCCCGGGCCGCAGCACACCCGGCCGACCCGGTACCTGCGAGAGCGCGCGAGGCTTGTGGGCGGCTGGAGTCGAAGCTCGGTGGAGACCCTCGCCCTTGGGAGCCCCGCCCCCGGCTCTCCCGGCCCTCTCGGTTCTCCCCGCCCTCGAGCCGCCTCTGCCCCTCCTCCCGCTAGAGGACCGCACGGTCAACCCGCCCCAATCCGTGCCCAGCTCCTCCCGCTATGCTCCCTCAGCAAACTCCCGCCCCAATCGGAGCCCCGCCCCTCGGCCGTGGCTGCTGCAGAGACTGCTTCGCGCAGGCTCAGCTTACTACTCTCGCCCAGTCCACAGACCACGCTTATTTGTATAGACGCCCCTGTGACTGGCCTTCGGAGCCCCGCCCGCTTGCTTTCCGAGGTGATTTCCCCTCTCACCCCCCACCCCGCCCACCCCACCGCTCTCCAGTCACCCCGTCCGTAGTATCTAAGGCCAAAGGGCTCTACCCCCAGTCATATCCTCCCTCACACTGCAAATTCCAGCCCCTACCAAAACCCCGCCTCAATCCTTGCTGCAGCGAGGTTGCTGTTGCGCAGGCTCAGTTTACTAGCCTCCCGCTGCCCAATGGTCACTACTTATTTGCATAATCCCACCCAATTAACATAACACTCCTGGAAACCCAGCATCTTTTGCAGGCCCATCCCATTTGTTCAGCCTCTTCTCATCCTTTTGGGCATACCTAGTGAGGAGCTCTTCTCCTTGCTAGCTGCCTATCCCCCCACAAGCAGGCCTGGCTGAGTATGTTTACCCTGCCTAATGGTCACTCTGCATAGCGCCACCCACGTGATCTGCTCCCCACCACAAAGCTTAGCTTCTCTAGCTTGTTCAGCCAAGCCTTTTCCTGGCTGCATACATAGTCTGAGACCCTGAATGGACTGAAAGTATCTATCTCCAAAGATCACTTTGACAGATTCCTTGAGTCTGAATAGGCAATCGCTGGCTAGCGTGAAGGCTATGCTAGTTCTGGAAGAAATCACATTCAGAAGCCCCTCCCGTGCAGAGCTCCATCCTTTACTCAAGTTCTCACCAGAGAGCCTGATCAACCGACCCCTTGTGCCTTTCTTTAATTTGAATAATTTATATCATGCAATGACAACATCCATATGCATGAATTTTCTTTTCTGCTGTATTTGCCTGTCGCATATATCCCTTACTGATTAATTTTTCCATTATCCTTCCGTGTCTAAGTCCTCTTCTTTACCAATTTACTTGCCTTGGTTACTGAACGTCATCTTGGATTTACATTTGCCTTTGTTTATAGATCATATTATGCTTCTTATAATCCATTCCTCCCAAAAACTATATGTAAATTTTATTTATTAATTTATTTTTTGTTGGTCGTGGGGCTTGAACTCTGGGCTTGGGCGTTGTCCCTGTACTCTTCAGCTCAAGGAGAGCGCTCTACCACTTGAGCTACAGCCACTTCTGGTTTTCTACTGGTTTTTATTGGAGATAAGAGTGTCATGGACTTTCCTGCTTGGGCTGGCTTTGACCCTTGATCCTCAGATCTCAGCCTCCTAAGTAGCTAGGATTACATGTGTAAGTCACTGGCACCCACTACTATGTAATTTTATAATGGCAATACCTTTTAGAAACAACACCAAAGCACCAAGTCTCAGAAATGATCATTTTAGCCATCTACTTTTTATCCACCATGAGCAACTTATTGTAACTATGTTCCTGAAACATTTATACCTCATAGATTTCCAGTTGGTGCTAGAATGATTGAGAAACAGGAAATTTATTGATCCTCCACAAACTCACTGGCTGAATTAAACTCCCAGGCTTAGCTACTCAGGAGGCTGAGATCTGAGCACCTATTTCAAAACCAACGCAGACAGGAAAGTCCCTGAGACTTTAATCTCTAACATCACCAAACAGAAAGAAATGGACCTGTGTCTCAAGTGGTAGAGTGCTGTCCTTGAGCAAACAAGCTCAGAGACAGCACCCAGGCCCTGAGTTCAAGCCCCAAGACCATTAAAAAAAATAAAAGGCTTCATTTGTCTCTGGAAGGCAACTTTGGAAATAACTCCCTTCCCTGAGGAGATATTTTCACAAACAAAGTTTGAGGAGGTCTGGGGAGTGAACTTTCAGACTCTACACTTCAGAAACTAGAATCAGGCAAATGCTTCCACCTTCTTTCACCATAGGACAACTCTTATGGTGCAGAATGACGAGCTGGCCAGGGCTTCCTGGAGAAAAACATCGGCAGTGTTGCATAGTGAGTATGTGGAAACAAGAAAGAGCTATAATGTCGAGGGTCCAAGTGCAAATAAAAATGCCTTGGAGTTTAGCAGCTACTTATAACCGGCACTCCTTTAGGGAATACTATGTCATTATCTATTGTTGTGCTTGGTAAGTCTGTGCCCTTCTCATGGAAGTGTTGCACAGCCTGAATCAAATCAGAGGTGCTTGGATCTACATACAAAAATATATCAAAAGCCACTAAAGATCCCAGTAGTGACCCAACCCAGATACCCTACATAGTGGTGCATTACGTGGCCACTGTTGACAGATCTCTTTGTTGGCTCATGCCGAAATCATCTCTCAGAATTACTATGGTTGCTGTGTTGTACCACAGCCCCAGGTCATGAGCAGACCTGGTAGCCAGCTTGTGTTTTGAGATCCAATTAGATGTGAAAATTTTATTTTTCTTTTTTCTTTTTTTTTTGGGGGGGGGAGTCCGGTCGTGGGGCCTGAGCTCTGGGCCTGGGTGCTGTCCCTCAGCTCTTCAGCTCAAGGCTAGCGCTCTACCACTTGAGCCACAGCGCCACTTCAGGCTTTTTTCTTTGTGCTCATGTGGTGCTGAGGAATCAAACCCAGGGCCTCATGCATGCAAGGCAAGCGCTCTACCACTGAGCCACCTTCCCAGCCCCGTGAAAATTTTATTTTTCTATATCTATATTATCATTAATACTGAACAGAGCCCTTGCTTAGAGATGCCAGGATGGAGTGGGTATGGGACATAAAACTGGTGCATGAGGAAAAAAAAGGATCTAGAGGCACTGAGACATGGAAGATGGCAATCTTGGAGCTAGGCCTTGGAGCCCGTCTACATACTCAAAGCAGTTTGCTGCTGTATTTTGTGAGGCAGGCGCTGGCCTTCCAGAAAAGTCCCTCAGAGCAGAACCTGTAGGTAGAAAATGTACAGCAAGGTCCAATTGGCGGGAATTTGAAGCTGGCCTTCCAATCCCACCTCCCCTCACAGCCTGCCACGTGGCAGCAAGACTTGTGAAGTCCCGCCTACTCACGTGATGGTTCTCATTGGTCATCACTAACGAAACCGTGCCCCATTGGCTGAAAGACATGGACAGGCACTGCCAAGTACCACTAGGGAAGGGTTCTGTTCCGCTTGTTCGTTAACTGACTCACTCACTTGGCCTCAAGTAGGCAGTGCGGGCACAAGTGGGGACGAGGTGTGGACTCACAGGAGCACTCGCCTCTGTTACTGGAGTCCTCCTGTGAGGCAGAGACCAACAGAAGCTTCTTTCACATCAGAGGCTCTTGGGGCTCAGGCCTCACCCACCACAGGAACATGCATCGTTTTTTTTCCAAAGCTCTCCGTTTCTTTGGAAAGCGGACCGTGTCGGAGGAGGAAAAGGAGCAGCACCAGTGTCTCCTGGAAGGTACCTCACGGAGGGACGGGCCCATTGGGGTGCTTCCCATACACCCGGTCTAGGGCCTCGGGTACTGTGTAGGCTTCTCAGCACCCAGAGAAATGCCATCTTATAACGGTAGCATCTCTGACTTCTTGAGTCTGTTGCCTCCAACCCAAATAACTCCATTCCTGCCTCTTTGTCCCCCCGTCCTCACTCAGGCCTCCTACTTTCTAACCCTCCATGTTCAGATGTCCCTCATCCGCGTTCGCTACCCAATTTCCCACTGCCACTCCCACAACCCCCGTCTTGCAACCATCCAACAACATGCCCCCACTCCTCTGTCTGAAGTGCTGGACCAATTTACACATAACCCTAACACTTCAAAGTGCTGCTAATGTAGCGAAAAAGGTCTTTGTGCTGGGTATAGTGGGAAACGTGAGTAATCCAAGCACTGGGGAGGTGGAGGAGGCACGTAGATCTGGAGTTAGTGACTTGGGTTGCATGTGAAGACAATCATATTTGTGTGGGGGGCGATATTTTTTTTATTGTTGAGGTGAAATACAGAGGGGTTACAGTTACATAAGTAAGGTAATAAATACATTTCTTGTCAAAGTTGTTACCCTTTCCCTCATTTTTCTCCTACTTTTCCCTCCCCCCCCAACCCCAGAAGACATTTTTGTTGTTGGTGCTGGTGGTCATTGGGCATGAACTCGACTCAACACTGTCCCTGAGCTATTGGTTCAAGGCTAGCACTCTACCACTTGAACCACAACCCCACGTCCCGTTTTCTGGTGGTTAATAGCCGATAAGAGTCACAAGGACTTTTTTTTTACCTGGGCCAGGCTTCATACCATCATCCTCAGATCTCAGCCTCCTGAGTAGTTAGGATTACAGGCGTGAGCCATCAGTGCCCAACCAAGGCAATCTTTAAAAAGAAAAATAAACAGTTTCTGCTGGGGCTGTCTTCCCTCTTCCCTCTCCCCCAACTTCTCCAGATACCTTTGAACATTTTTTGTATAGATGCCAAGTGAATGGGCATGATTCCTAGTTTTGTTGGGTTTTGTTTATTGTGCTGCGTTTCCCTCTTTCCTTATTTATTTATTTATTTTGGTCAGTCGTGG